GAAGCACTAAACATGATAGTAGGCCAAGTAACTGGCTTCCCCCTTTTAAGAGTTTGCTTCTATGATATTCTGGTCCTAGCAAGAAAATGGATTTAGATAATTTTTCTTGCTTTCGTTTAAAGCAGGGAGGTGACTTGGCCTTTATTTTGATACCTAGGCACCTCTCTATAATTCATGTCATAGCATTATCTTACAAGAAAGACCTCTTGTAACAAACCCCTTTACCAGTAATGTCTCCTGTAACTACCATATTCTGAATTCCTCATTCTAATGAATAAGCCACTAGCCACTGTCCTGTGTAATTTCAACATATCAGCTAACCTAGAGAGAAATGTTTTTGCAACAGTCCTCATCTTTTTTCAATTTTCATTTTTTTTTATTGTGGTGAAAAGGTACATACCAAAACATTCACCAGCACAGCTTGCACATTTACAATTCAACAACATCGATTACATTTTTCATGTTGTACCACCATTATCACTACTCTTTTCCAAAATATTACACCACCTTCAAAATAAACTCAAGGCCCCCCAAACAAAAATCCCCCTTACTCCCTCCCTCCCACTCCGGTAACCATTAATAATCTTTGGTTTATATATATTTGCTTATTTCATATAAGTGAAATCATATAGTATTTGTCCTTTTGCGATGGATGTATTTCTTTCAGCATGTTTTCGAGGTTCATCCAGGTTGTGGCATCCATGAGAACTTCCGTTCTCTTTACAGCTGCGTAATATTCCATTGTGTGTGTATGCATTCATCTGTTGATGGACATTTCAGTTGTTTCTACTTTTTGGCTATTGTGAACAGTGCTGCAATGAACATCGGTGTATATATGTCTGTTCATGTCACTGTTGTCAAGTCTCTTGGGTACATACTTAAGAGTGGAATTGCTGGGTCATATGGTAGTTCTATAGTCAACATTTTGAGGAAGCACCAAACTATTTTCCATAGCGGCTGTACCATTTTACATTCCCACCAGCAATGGATGAGGGGTCCAGTTTCTCCACAACCTTGTTAACAGTTGTTGTTTTATGTTTTTTTTTATCATTGCCATTCTAATGGGTAAGCTGATATTTCATTGTGGTTTTGATTTGCATCTCTCCAATGGCTAATGATGTTGAGCATCTTTTCATGTGCCTATTGGCCATTTGAATATCCCCTTTGGTGAACTGTCTCTTCAAGTCCTTTGCCCATTTTTTGATTGGGTT